TCAAAAGTGAGTTGGAGCACTTCCTCATATCCCTGTAGATAGCTTTGATTTCTTCATCTGAAAATTACCTGTTCACATCCTTTGACCATTTATCAATTGGGGAATGGCTTGCATTCTTATAAATTTGACTCAATTCTCTATATATTTGAGAAATGAGGCCTTTATCAGAGATACTGCTTGTAAAGATTGTTTCCTCGCTTTCTGCTTTCCTTCTAATCTTGGTTTCATTGGTTTTGTTTCTGCAAAAGCTTTTTAACTTACTAGAATCAAAATTATCTATTTTACATTTCGTAATGCTTTCTATCCCTTGTTTTTCTCCATAGATCTGACAGGTAGACTATTTCTTGCTCTTCTGATTTGCTTATGGTGTCACCTTTTATGTCTAAATCATGTACCCATTTTGACCTTACCTGGGTATATGGTGTGAGATGTTGGTCTGTATACCTAGTTTGTCCCATATTGTTTTCCAGTTTTCCCAGCAGTTTTTGTCAGATAGTGAATTCTTATCCCAGAACCTGGAGTGTTTGTGTTTATCAAACAGTAGATTACTATGGTCATTGACTACTATGTCTTGTGTACTTAACCTATTCCACTGATCCACCACTCTATTTCGTAGCCAGTACCAAGTAGTTTTGATGATGACTGCTTTATAATACAGTTTGAGATCTGGTATTGCTAGGCCACCTTCCTTTGTAATTTTCTTCATTAACTTCCTTGATATCTTGATATTCTTGACCTCTTGTTCTTCCAGATGAATTTTGTTATTTTTTTCTAGCTCTGTAAAATAATTTTTTGGTAGATGGGTTTCTTTTTCAAGCTGCATGCCCTGTTTGTTGTTCTTTTAGTGATAAAAGTGTTGAGATAGAAATTTTCCCCTAAGAAATACTCATCTCCCAAATTTTGGTATATTGACTCATCGTTGTCATTATTTTAATGAAATTATTTGTTGTTTCTGTGATTGTAAGGGGGCAGAATCTGTTCTGCCCTAATTATGCCAGTCATAGTGTAGGATACCTTCTGAGAAAATACTGAGATACTGAAAAAAGAAGGCCCCATGGCAGCTTGGTTATTAATAGGTTTCATTAGGGAGAGTTTACTCACAAGAGGTCAGTCATCCTGGATGGCATCAGGACAAAGTAACATCGTGGATCCCTGTACCAACACTAGGCCAGGTCACCTATTATATGGTTGTTTGTTTTTTGTTCTGCAAGAGGACCAATGACATCAGGAAAGTGATGTCTTGACTTGCATGTAAATTGGATACTGGGCTGTGCAAAGTCACCCATCTCAGTCTCTCCTCTAGAGCCATCTGGGTCCAGTGGCAAGATATAGATCAGGATGACTGTAGATAGTCCCGCATGCAGTGGGAGACCTTGGCCTTTTTGAACTAAGGTCTTTCCCAGGTCTTAGTTTGTCTGAATTTGAATCCCAATGGGTTTTATCAAAGCCTGGTTTTCCAATGCTGTATTTTAAGAGATCATAAATGAAACTACATGGGACAAAAGAGTCAATTGTTCCAATTTTTTTTTTTAATGATCGAATAAATAAATAGAGAAGAGGGGGGAAAAATCCTCTAGCCTGTAAACCCCAAGATATCTTGCAAGGTTTCAGGGATCAAAATTTATATTTCTTTGGGCAGAGCACCAGAGGGAGAGGAGGGAGGGAAGGAAGGAACAAAGGAAGGAAGGAGGGAGGGAGGGAGCAGCGTTGTCCAACTGGAACTTTCCAGTTGGGTCCCCAGTGGGGCAGCTACTACTTCTCACAGACTGTTTGTCCTTCATTCGTGAAGAGGACCAATGACATCAGGAACGTGAAGTCTTGACTTGCATGTGAATGGATTTTTCCCTCCTCCAGAACCCTCTCACATATTACGTAGAAACAGAACAAAGAAAGCATAGTGCCAGGGATGGCCCAGGGTTACATACAAGTGTTCCCATGGGATAGTTGGAGCTTCTTTTGCTGTTTATATTTATTGAAGGTAGTTTACAGTCTTCTGTGGAGTCATAGGTCACATTCCCACTCTGGCTATCCCTGTACAGTGATTTGTTCTTTTATTCACCTATTTTTTAGGGTGAAGTTATTTGGTCTCAAATTAATTTTTAATACTTTCTTCAGCAGCCTTTTATTCAACGTAACTTAAAAGATGTGTTTAATAGTCTGCTTCTCTGCTTTTTTTTTATTATCTGAGACATGGTTAGTTTTTGTAAAATGCCACATGTAGTGAAATATATCTATTCCTTTTTATTCCCATTTAGTAACCATCAAACTTCTATTGTATCCAACTCTTCTAAAATGTGTTCAGGTCCTTAACTTCTTTCCTGTTTATTATTTGGCTGTATTCGTCTAGGTCTGAAAAGGACACATTGACCTCCCACACTATTATAGTTTTGTTGTCTATTTCTCCCTTTAACTCATTTACTTTTCTGTATTTAAATATTATGCCAGTTGGTCTGTATGTTTGATATTGATATTAATTCATTGTCTGTGGTACTTTCCAGCAAAATGTTATTGTTCTGTTCATGTCTTTTAATCAAGCCTGTTTTAAAAGCTGTTGCCTTCTCTGGGATCATGATTGTTACCCTGTCCTGTTTTTTTTTTTGGTTTTTTTTTTTTTTTTAACTTCAACTGAGACATGATAGATTTTGTTCCAGCTCCTTATTTTAATTCTGTGCTAAATAGTTCCTAGCCATCTTACTTTTTCAAGTTTCTTGTAAACTTAAAAAAGTTTCTTGTGTTGCTTATAAACTACATATTGTTGGGTTCTGCTTTCTCATGTGTTTTGTTACCCTCCTCCACATTATGGGTGAGTTCATCCCATTCACAGTTATGTATTTCCATCCTATTCTCTTATATTTTCCCCTTTCTTTGTTTCCTGTTCTCTTCTTATAAAGAAGAGGACTGTGCAAGGAGTGTGCTTTGCCCCAGTGCTATCGGTGCTGCAGTCTGCTTCTGTTTTCCCTGCCCTTCTTCTCTTTCCCTCTCCAAGTACGCAATCACAAATTGCTTTCTTTCCTTTTAAGCCCTTCTTTATGGACCACCCTCTATGGTTAGATTTAAAAAAAAAAGTCTCCCCAAGTCTGTTTTCCGTGTGATTCCCCCTCTTCCTTTCCCCTCCTGTTTCCCTGTGGAGGGAAATTGTGTTTCTGTATTCTTCCCTCCTTTGAGCAGTTCAGATGAAAGTGAGGTTCACATGTCACCTGTTCCCTCCACCCATTTCTCCTTGTTTGTATAGTCTTCTGACTGTGCATCCTGATGTGTGTCATCCTTTCCCTCACCCTTTCTCTCCCATTCTACCCTCTCACCCCTACCCCCATCGTTTTCCTTTTCCCTTTCTTTTCCTCTTTTTTCCTCTAGATCATATCAAAACTTCTACCAGGCCCTCTTTTTTGTTTGGCATTTTCTAGACCTCTGGTGATATTAGTGTTCTGAGGGGAAACTTATATCATCTCCCTCTATTTGAATATAACCACGTCATCCTTGTTTAATACCTTATTATTGCTCTCTTATATTTATCTTTTTCTGTTTCTCTTGATTCTTCTGTTTGTATTTCAAAATTCTACTCAGCTCATCTTTTCTTCTTGAAAGCTTGGCAGTGCTCTATTTCATTAAAAGTCTGTTCTCCTCTCCCCCCTCCCCCCCAGGTTGTATTATACTCAGTACAATGCCTGGGGATTTAATCTAATGATTTTTAAATTATTTTATTATGACAAAACATAGTTTTCCTAGTGTCCAGGAAGAGCCCACTTTCCCTGCTCCTTAGTTGGAGTTTGTAAATTGTGGTGACAGCTGCTTCCTTCACGTGCACAGCATTGTAGCAAGGGCGGACATCAGCTTGACTAGCTGTAACAGCCATTGCATCAGTGGCAGTGCACAATGTGTTTGCAGTTAGACTTTCCTGAGGAACATAGGTAGAGGCCACTGGGAGAACATGAGGGTATGGATTGTTGTGGCTTATCTTCATACTTCTGCTAATTTTTGTACTTCTCCTAAAAGTGAATGGCACATCTTAGTCTCTTATTAAATGTTTAGTGAATAAGAATAATCATCATTTACATAGCACTTAAGGATTTACAAAACCCTTCTCAAAAATCCTGTGAGGTATGTAGTACAAATATCATCCTCATTTTTTTTTTTCTTTGAAGAGGAAGCCAAGTCATGGTCAGACAGCTATTAAGTGACAGATTTGGGATTAAACCCAGATTTTCTGATTCTAAGTGCAGCACTTCTCCTGTTGTATAACTTCTCATAAATGTATGCCCAAGGAGATGGTCACACATATAACTGTCTCTTCTCTACCCCCACCCCCTTTCCTTAGACCTGATTTGGCTTTTGGCATGGAAATAAGGTAGACATCTTTTTAGACATCTCTTGGGTTTTTTTCTACCCAAATAGAACACTCTGCTTTAGTGGAAAGAGTTAGTGCATCTTTTATGGGGTCTAGACCAGTGATTTGGTAAGTTCAGGGGTACTTTTCCCATGAGATAATTCCCTCTACCCATTTGAGTCAGTGATGATACTGCAACTTAGAGTTTTAGAGTGTGTCTGGAGCACCGAGAGGTTCAGTGAGTTGCCAAGAGTCATGTAGGCAGAATGTGTCTTGAGTTGGGACCTGAACCTAAGTTTTATGGACCCTGAGAGCAATCCTGTGTACTATACCGAGGCATCAATACGTCTAAATTTATGTAATATATTTCTTAGAATTTATTAGTTCTTTATAATTATAAAAATAGTTCCTAAGCATCAACATATTCATGGCATTTAATATCTATTAAACAACCACAGAATACAGGTAGGGGTGTGTGTGTGTGTGTGTGTGTGTGTGTGTAATATATAAAATCCTTCCCTCATAACCACAAATATGAAATTAGAGTAAAAACATCTTGAATTCGTGAAAATATAGCAGGCTAAGATTGTGCGTTTGGGAAGGTATTTGTAATCATTAATGTAGTGTTAAGAATTTTAATTCAATTAATATAAAAATACTCATCTTTTCCTTTCAGATATACAAAAGTACATTCCATGCTCTCAGCTTTTCAGGTGAGTATTACCACATGTGAGGAATTCTGACCAGTATTTTGTGATTGTGTTATGTCAAGCAAGCATGTAACCATTTGTTAAGCACCTACTATGTGCCAAGCATTGTACTACGCACTGGGGATATAAAGATTTTTAAAATGACAGCCCCTGCCCTCAAGAAGCTTACCAGCCATCTTATAATGAAAAAGTTTTTTTTTCCTAATTATCTGAAATGTTACTCATTTACTCATTCAACCTGAATACTCACATTCACAATGATACTTAGTTGCTACATTTTTCCAGACCTTCAGATTCATCTCTTGAGTCACACCAGCCACCTGCTCATTTGCCCAGTTTGTTTTACTAATCCAACTACTTTTCTTCTCTCTCTACTAACTAGTTCTATTCCTCACCCGCTATCCTTTCGTTGATGGTTGCTCACCTTTTACCTCTTATATTTTCTAAACCGCTATAGTTTTGATCTTTCTACCACCACCCACACAGTGTCTAATGTGACTGAAGCTGATTTCCATTAACCACATGGAAAACCAACTTCATTGCTTTATAGTTAGAACCTTTGTATGCTGCACCTTCCCGTAGTGAATCATTTGCTCACCTTACATGAGAATAACTTTCATAGTAATTAGAATACATTTGTTGAGAAAATTTGAATCTATATGGACCTGTCATTAAGTGTAAGTCTGCTAATATATCTTGATTTAATATTTATTGATTAGTTAACAAAAAAACAAAAACAGAAACAACAGCTAGACAGCTCTGAGGATCAAGTAGAGGAAGAATGGAGAATATGATCACTTTTATGGTGATACCAAGTCCCTGATGTAGGTAATTCTGGTAGAAAGGATGAAGAGCAATCTTAGGATGGTATGGTAGGAAAGGAGATTTTAAGAGATTCTTGGAAGAAGCCTCTACGTTACAACCGTAAGGTCTATAACAGTACTCATAGAGGAGCTCATAGGGCTATTGGGGAGGGAGTTGAGGAAAGTGAAAAAAAAAAGTGACTGTTTTGATGTCACTTTTGGGGATGTTTTGGTGGTTTCCAGATGGTTGTTGAATCATTTACTCAGAATCATACAGTCTTAGAGTTGGAAAGAGGCTGAAAGATCATCTAGTTCAACTCCCTCATTTTACACATAAAGAAATTGAGGCCGAGAGTGACCCTCCAAAGATTACACAGTTGAGAAAACCAAGACTAGAATGAAACTTACTTTTCAGCGAACTTTCCAGTGTGGTATACACCAGTTGCTTCAATGAATTTCTGTATTTCTTCCATCTACTTATATGTTCACTCCCCCATTGGATTGTGACTTCCTTGAGGGCAGAGACTTTTTTCTCTTTCTTTGTATCCTCAGGTTTAGTCAGTGCCTGCTGACTGTGTATTGACTGACTGATAATCTAGTCCTTTTGTTTCTTTTGGGACTTAGGATTGCATTGGTGTGGAAAATCCGTAAGTGCCTTGGCCACAGTAACATAGCTAGTCAGTGTCCAAGGAAGAATATGAATCCAGGTCTTACTGACTCCGTGTCCAGTACTCTGATCTGCTATGCCTGCTGCTGTACTAGTTTTTACCAAGTGCTGAGCTTGGTGTATAGCATTGGTGTATAGCTGAGTGGATAGCATTTTCAAAAGCCCTATCTAGTTTATCCATCAGGAATGGAGAGGTATTAGAAAAATAATATGTAATGCTTTGTATTTACGAAGTTGCCATATCAAGGCATAGATTTGTGGGATTGGAGATAGAAATTAGGGACTATAAATGATCCTTTTAGCATTCCTTTTGGGCAGAGGGAGAGCAGCCATTCTCAATTTCAGATCTTTTTTTTTTTTTTAAATGTAAAAGCACAGGGAGGAGAGATAAGAGCAAATAAGCTCAATAAGGAGTTTCTCTTTACAACTGTTTATTACAAACAGAAGTAAAATCTGTTCAAATTCATCCACACAAACATATATGTAGAGTTATTACCCATCTCCCACCTCTATACCTTTGTAGCCTGTCTTGCAGTCTTGGGATGCTTTCCCTCCTCATCTTGTAATCCTTAAATTTTGGCTCAAATGCCAGTTTCCTACCTGAGACCTTAACCGTTTACCCTGATTGTTAGGGGTGTCACCTTCCCACAACCCACAACCACGTTGCTTTGTGTATATTTTGCATTTATTTGTTTATGGACTTATTATCTTTCCCAGTGGAGTGTAAGCTTTTGTTGTTATTTTTACTTGGTATCCCCAGTTGCTGGTACATAGTAGGCCCTTAATGCTTGCTTAACTGAGTGAGTTTTTGCACCAGTATGAGAAATGGATGTGTTGTAGCATTGTCTACAACTTCGGTTGTAGTTGCATGACACTCATTTCTGACTTCCAATGTTTGTGGAGCACTTTGTGTTTCTCTGCCCCATCACATTCTACCTCAAGATCTTTCCAAATACTTTTGTCTACAACACAGTATTTTTTGCTGTGGGTAACTGAGACACAATGAACAGTTAAGTTGGCACAACTCAAGGAGAGTTTGGAGACCTTAAGTATGTGAAGTTACCCTTCAGTAAGTTCAGCTGTTTTTGTTTTTCTGTATAGTTTCACAGTCTGATATGTTGAGGGTAATGTGTACCTCTAATAGGCAAGTTTTGTTTGTATTGCAAATACTATATTGTATATGCTGGGTAAATAAAATTTATAATAAAATTACTTATAAATTTTCTTTTATCTCTAGTAATATGACATCCAAAAGGATATCAGTCAGTCAGTAAGCCTTTATTAAGGCCAGGGCACTGTGCTAAGTGCTGGGGATACAAAGAGAGGCAAAAGACATTCTCTGCTCTCAAGGAACTCAAAGTCTAATGGGTGAGACAACATGGAAATACCTATTTACAGACAAGATATAGGCTCAATACATTGGAAGTAATCAACAGAGGGAAGGCACTAGCTTCCTGTAGAAGGGGGGCTCTAGCTAGGACTTGAAAGAAGCCAAGAGGCAGAGATGAGGAGAAAGAACATTCCAGGCATGAGGGGACAGCCAGCGAATGTGCCTGGAGTTGGAAGATGGGGTGTTTTGTTCAAAGAATGGCAAGGAGACCAGTGCCATTAGATTAAGGAATTGGAGAGAGGGGCGGTATGTGGAGATGCTGCATAAGGTAAAAGAAGACTGGAAAGGTAGGCTTGGGGTCAGGTTATGAAAGGCTTTGAACACCAAACTGATGATTTTATAGTTGATCCTGGAAGTCATGGGGGAGTACTGAATAGAGGGGCTAAGGTGGTTAGACCTGAGTTTAAGGATCTGTGTTTGTTTGAATGGATTTGTCAGACATTCCACTATAAATGATTACTTTGGTTTATGTAATCCTATAAATTATTCTAGCAAAGCCTAGGATTAGCATTTTTTCTATGTTGTAGAAAGGAAGAGCTAAAGGTGAGCTTTTTTCATCTTTAGTTCCGTCATCATTAGCAGTTACTCTTTAACGTTTCATCAGTAGCAATTCAAATGTTCTACCTAGCCAACAACAAAAAAAAAAAATTAAGGCCTCAAACACCAAGTAAGAGCAGAATCATGCAAACCATCCACATGGTAACAGCAAAATAAGTGTAAAGAACAAAGAAAATGAAACTGATCATTAATTATAATGGCCAATCTTGGCTCTGAAGAAATGAGAAAATACCGCCCCCCCACCATAGTGGTGGTCTATGGTTATAGAATGCTACATGTGCTTTCAGATTCAGGTGATGTATTAGTGTGGTTGAATTGGCATCTTTTCCCTCTGTTTATATTGAGTTGCCAGGGATGATTTGCTGGAGGTCACAGGGGGAGTATAAGGAATGTGATGTAAAAACAAAGTATAAATAATCATTTTAAAAATAAAGCAATTTGTTAACATGTGCTTTTAAAGAAAAGAATAACAATTAGTAGAATTATGTAACTTTATTTGAAAACTTTTGGAAGATGTCTTTGTATATATTCTAGGGCTCATTTGTCACGTAGACGCAATGAGTTGTGGTAGGGTCCAGTAGGATGTCAAAGCAGATGGTATTGCCTCTTGACTTTTGCCCAATAGCCGACTTGTTGCTTTGCATTGAGGTACTTTGGTTAGGACCAGTTACAATATGATACTGGCATTGAAGGAGTTATTTATTAAGGAATCTTACTGAAATATGTTTTCACTTGCCTCTTTTTAGCTTTTATAACTCATTAGGTAAAGTAAATGAGCAGGCACTGAAGAAGATCATCCTGGGCTGCGAAAAGGTATTGGGATTTACTCCACCTCTGTGACTTACTCCTTTAATTCTCTGCTTTTTTGGCTTCTGACAACACTAATAGTGACATTAACTTTGCACACATGGCTTCAATATTATATGTAAAAATATCTTCATATTATCCTCCGAAGTAAGAAAGAAGAGCTGAAAGGCAGCATAGGCAGTATAGGGCCATAGGCAAGACCTTGAGCTTCTCTAAGCCTGTTCCCTCATCTGTCTGTCAAATGGAGATAAAATGCTGTTCCTTACAGGGTTTTTGTGAGAAAAGACCTCTAACTTGCTATATAAATCTGAATGACAGGCCCTTTACCACAGAACTTAAGAGTTAGGCTAGAACTCAAAGGATATTCCAGACCTGAAGGATTCCCCTTTAGTGGAAAGAGCACTGGCTCCAGAGCCAGAAATCTTGGTTCAAACCCTCCCTCTTAACTCTGTGTCCTTGGGCAAGTCACTTTGCCTCCCTGGGCCTCAGTTTCCTCATCTGCAAAAGGAAGGGATTGGATTAGATGGCCTCTGAAAGAGAGTCTTTAAGTACTTAGCAAGATTTTGCTTTGTGCTGACAATGCAACCAAGATTAGAAGGGAAGCAGAAAGCTGGGAAACACTTTTTATAGCCAGTATCTCTGATGAAGGCCTCATTTCTAAAATATATAGAGAACTGAGTCAGATTTATAAGAATACAAGTCATTTCCCAGTTGATAAACGGTCAAAGGATATGAACAAGAAGTTTTCAGATGAAGAAATTAAAGCTATCTATAGTCATATAAAAAATGCTCTAACTCACTATTGATTAGAGAAATGCAAATTAAAACAATTCTGAGTACCATATCACACCTATCAGATTAGCTAATATGACAAAACAGGAAAATGATAAATGTTGAAGAAGGTGTGGGAAAATTGGAACACTAATGCATTGTTGGTGGACTGATCCAACCATTCTGGAGAGCAATGTGGAACTATGCCCAAAGGGCTACAAAAATGTGCATACCCTTTGACCCAGCAATACCACTTCTAGGTCTGTGTACCAAAGAGATCATAAAAAAGAGAAAAAGGACCCCCATGTACAAAAATATTTATAGCAGCTCTTTTTGTGATCGCAAAGAATTGGAAATTGAGGGGATGCCCATCAATTGGGGAATGGCTGAACAAGTTGTGGTGTAGAAATGTGATAGAATACTATCATGCTATAAGGAATAATGATCAGGTGGATTTCAGAAAAGCCTAGAAAGACTTGCATGAACTGATGCTGAGTGAAATGAGGAGAACCAGGAGCACACTGTACACAGTAACAGCAACATTGTGCCATGACTAACTTTGATAGACTTAGTGCTTCTCAGCAATACAGTGATCTAAGAAAATTCCAAAAGACTTGTGATGGAAAATGCCACACCCAGAGAAAGAGCTATGGAGTCTGAATGCAGACTGAAGCATACTATTTTCTCTTTTTTTTCTTTCTCTTGGTTTTCCCCTTCTGCTCTGATTTTTCTTTCACGACATGACTAAAGCGGAAATATGTTTCATATGATTGTACACGTATAGCCTCTATCAGATTGCATGCCGTCTTGGGGCGGCGGGGGTGGTGGGGTGGGCGGGGAATTTAGAACTCAAAATCTTATAAAAGTGAATGTTGAATACTCTAAATAAATAAAGTAGGGAAAAAAGGAAAAAAAAATATAAAGAGGTATTTTTAAATACCAAACAGAAAAAAAAATAAAAAGATTTTGCTTTGTCAACCTGGTCAGAGGTTTGGTCTATAAAGAAACAAACAGAATTAGGTTGTATACATGCTGTTTTATGTGTTTTAACTTTCTTTTACCAAACCATTGTTCTAGTCACAATTTGTTCATCCAGAACACAAACAACATTGTCATAACTCTACCTAGGAAGTGGGTCAGGGAATTTCTTGTAGCTCATCCAGGGTTTGGCTTTTTTAGATCAGTTGTTTGCTTAATTTTAACAAAGTGACTGTTTTTTTTTTCTTTAAATAGGTCATTAAGGCATCAGTAGGCACAAAGCAACACAGAGGTATATGTGAGAATCTAAATGCAATGAGGTCCTGCCTTTTGAGGAGTTAATAGGCATCTAATGAGCTTTGGGCTGAAGACATTTAGCAGTTTGATACCTTTTGAAAACAGCCTCACAATCCAGGAAGCTTTATCTGTGGAGAAAACTTCTATTTCACAACCAGTATCAGACTGGTTGACCATTTCTTAGCTATGCTCTAGCGCTTCTGTTTACCATTCTCTTGTATCTGAAGGGGACTTTTGTGTCCTCAGAACAAGCCTCCTTCCCCTGCTGATTCAAGATGTCTGTGTCAGCCAAAATTGTAGTCTCCATATGTGTCAACCATAAACATGGAAATGACATAAAACGGGAATGACATAATAGGCAAGGGTACATCGAGCAATAAGATGAGAGTTGCCATAGTGTCAGTGGAAATTATAGTTCCAAGAGGATGCCCAGGATGTCTGGGTTTCTTCTGCCATAAACACAGATGTCAAAGCATAAGTGTCATACAACACTCCTAAACAATAAGAAAAGAGGGGTGCCATTATTCAAGATAATGTCTAAACAAGGGAGAGTCATAAAAATAATAAGATAAAGGAAATGTCCGGTGGCAGCTGGTCCTCATCAGAAGAATGTCCCCAGTCAGCTAAATCCAGAAGGAGGGCTTTGGGTTCACTCAGAGAGTGTGTCTGTTATGCCAACCAGGGTGCTTCTTCTAATTGGTTAGCCCAGGTTTTGGCCTTCTTTTGGGGGGTACTCAAACAATCCTCAGCTTAAATACCTCAAGTGAGGGAAACCTCACTAAACCTTATTTAACCCCAACCTCCCAAGGAAACCCATTCCACTTTTGGGTAGTTCTCAGTTCTTTCAGCTAATCCTTATATGGCATGAACTCAAGACCCTTTATCATCTTGATTTTCCTACTCTAGGCACCAGTCAGCTTATCAAAGACCTTTCCTAAAGTGTGGTCCCAGAACTGAACAGAATGTGATCTTTTTGGTCTGATCAGGGTAGAGCCTCTCACCTTTCTGCTTCAATAATTCTGTTTGAATAAACATTTTTGGTTAATTGTGGGGTATTTTTTAAGTCATGGAGAATTTTATACCTTTCAGTTGCATTGATCCCGTCTTCTAAAAATGATCTTGTTATAAATTAAAGGTTTGTTACAAATGAAAAGACCAAGAGAGAGTTTCTGGGTAATTAGTAAGCAATTTATTAATTAGGCTAGCAAATAATGAATAAATTGATGGTCAGTGGTCTCTCTTAGTAAGGAAAGACAAAACCATGGAGATTACTGAATGCTTAAATATCTTTGGAAAAAGAGGTGCCCCTGACAGCTGAAAATCAACCCTGATTGGTGAGCAATTACTGGGGGGAAGGGGGGTTGACATTTTAATAAGGAGGTAGGCTTCAGCTCCTCCTGCTCAGAACTTGATTTGACCAGCTGACTTGGAGAAAGGAATCTTTCTCTACCCTGATCCCTCTTGTGAAACAATGGGAGGTTTCAGGGGCCTGAGCCTAATGCTTTAGGGCTAGAATTCACCTAGATTAGATTCTATTTACACTTGAATCAGAAGGAGGATTAGGCCAGTCTCTTCATCAGCCCTGCTCTCCAGAGACTGACTGACCTACCTATAAGCACTGGTCCCTGAAGGAGGAAATAGAAAGGCAAAAAAAACCTCAATCCTAATTTGGTTATTAATATAATAGAAAAACAATCAAATCTCTCAGGTTCTGGTCTCAGGACAAAAATAGGAAAGTTCTCTTGAGTAGGATTTTTTCTCTCGAAATTTTTTTGGTAAAAACTGAGGAATGCATAAGAGTATTTTAAGTACAAACAGATATTTACACTTTTGGAATGTACAAAATGCATGTATGTAAATCCTTAAGCTTGGCAACAGTTCTTCTAAATGTTGATCATTATTTTTGAATATTTTGTTATTTATTTTTGTCTCATTGTGGTAGTACAGTTTTAGATAATAGAGACATTTAAGTTTGGTTTTCCCCCCCAAGAATGTGATTGGATGGTACAAATTCAGACGTAATTCACATCAACTGATGACATTTCGAGAGAGGAATCTTCACAAAAATTTACAACGTCATCTTTCAAATCAGGGACTTGTTTTTCTGTTACTAACATCACACATAACCACAAAAAACTGCTCCACTCATAGCCTGGATCATGCATTACATAGACTTCAGGATGGGTAAGTGTTGGCACATATTTGTATTAACTAGTAAACTTCAGGATGTGATTTTTCAATAGTTCTTAAATATTGTATACAAATGTTTAAGTTGATGTAATAACTTTTTACGCATGGGTGTATGTGAGATGGTCCTTTCCTTTTTATATCTGGATTTTCCTGAACACAGGGATCATAGCGATCCCTGGTTACCAGTAGGAGGAAAATCATAAATTTTTCCTTCCCTTAGTGATACTAATAAGGGTAATACTAACTCATGTTTTATAGATGCCTTTTCCACACAGCATCAAAGGCTGTTATCAGAAATGCATTGACTTGATAGACTGTTTTTAAACAAATGAATAATAGCTTAAGCCAAAATATTACTTATGCCTAATGATAGTTGTGTTCCATTTTAAGTGAACTAATGGTTGTAAAATCAACAAAAATTTTTTTTTTTAAATATTTAAAATGATTGACAGTGTTATAGATAAAAGTAATTGCTTATAATTGGATCAGTTTTAGCTGAACAATTATTTTGGACAAGTAATAAAAGATGCTTGTCTACAATGAATGAAAAATGAAGATAATAGAATGCCACTGCTAATTTTTAACCTTGCTTTAAATTCGTATTAAAAAATATTTTTTAGACTTTTCCATCAAGTGCCTTTAGTGGTGACCAACTTAGGTACATTAGAGCAGCAGGGATATAAGACTGTGTCAGATTCCTGTAGATCCGCTGCCTTTGGCCGAACAATCCACACATATGGGTAAGATGGCTCCTTAACCACTAACTCCTCACCTTACCTATTTCAAATATGTTGTTTTTCAGTCGTTTTTTCTGTTGTGTCTACCTCTTTGTGACCCCTTTTGCGGTTTTCTGGGCCAAGGTACTGGAGTGGTTTGCCATTTCCTTCTCCAGCTGATTTTACAGATGAGGAAACTGAGGCAGACAGGGGTGGTGACTTGACTTCACACAGCTAGTGAGTGTCAGAGGCCAGTTTGGAACTCAGGAAGACGAGTTTTCTGGACTTCAGGCCCAGCACTCTATCCACTTCACCACCTAGGTGCCCTAAATTTCAAATGTACTGATTTTCTAAAAAAGGATTTTTTTGTATCATTAAATCTAAAAAGGATCTAAACTTAAACTAACATAAAGCTAAAGCCACTGTGGATATAGCTATCTACAAATGTATGCTCTCTCACTTTAATCAAGTCTTCAGGGCTTCCTTTTCTTCTTCTGTAATTGCCTATCTTATCAGTTGATCATTAAGCACAATTAAGGAGAAGGTGTAGGTTTTACTGAGTCAGCGATTGTGCAGTATTATCTGTGCCATTCTCATGCAGTAGTTTCTCTACCACTGCATGGGGCACTGTGTTTTATAAATCTCAATTTCCATTTTTCAGTGTATTTAATGGAATTACACAAAATCTATTATTTTTGACACAATTGTGAGAGGCTAGAACAGTGTTTTTGTAGAAGAGAATCACTGGATGAATGACATGACTTTTGGACATCATTTATAGTTCTTTTATGACTTGATGACGATGATGATGATGGTGGTGTTTCCCTTAGTTGATAGCACTCAATCCATTCCTCTCCTCCCCCTTCTTCTTGACCTCTTCTAATTTTTACGTGTGTACTTACTTCTTTATATTTTGTATCCCTTAGGAAAGTCTGTCTTTGTAGGAGAGTGCCTAGGACTGTGCTTTGCACATATTAGGCACTTCCAAATGCCTGTTAGATTGGGATTATACATTCTTCTAATTTCTTTTAAATGCAGTGAAGTTTAGATCTGCAACTATTTTTTTTTTGTTTTGTTTTGTTTTAGGCAATTGGGGTTGAGTGACTTGCCCAGGGTCACATAGCTAGTGAGTGTCAAGTGTTTGGTCTGAGGCCGGATTTGAACTCAGGTCCTCCTGACTTCAGGGCCGGTGCTCTATCCACTGCACCACCTAGCTGTCCCGATCTGCAACTATTTTTGGTAACCAGATACTTCTTTAAAAAATATATCAAGAAAAAAGGCCAATATCAATAAGTATTTCTTGGGCAGAAATTATTTTGTCCTAATCCTAGAAGGAGGGAGTTTAAATGGTGCTGAAAGGTGATGCTCATGAAGTCTATCCCTGCTTACCAGCTATTTTGGTGGTTCTAATCTTCCTTACTCTGGTATAAATTATTATGTTCGTAATCACTGGCATGTAAACCTCTTGAGGAGAACGAGAGATGTGCTACCTAAACCAGAATAGAGCTGTAAAAACAAAAGATTAGAATAGCTATCTTTGTGTCACCGAGAGAAATTGTTACACCCTTTTGTGTTCTACATCATGGGCTTCTAACACATCCACAACATGTGTGTGTCATGTGGGCATGAGCTATTTCTCATCCTCCCGCTCATACTTCCCTCTTAATAGCAAGTTGTTCCAAATATCTTGTCAGCAGGCCCTTGCTGCTACTTTAAAACAAACTTGAGTCTGTAACCTATTGCTCTTGGAGGGGAGAGGGGGAGAATTTTATTTTGTTGTTTTTTTTTTTTTATTTTCAGTGCTAAACCATAAATCAGTGGTATATTTTATGATCTTACCATGATATTGAAAGGATAGTCCCAGAAGTGAGATGGGACTTCAAATCAAATGAATGTAACACACACACACACACACACACACACACACAGAGTTCCACTTAATCCCATCCTCCTTAATCCCACCTAACTGTTCCTACCTCCATTCCTCTAAGACCTTGTCCCTTCATTCTTCACCCCTAGTTTTTAAAAGTTCAGACTTTCTGTTATCTCAGCTTCTGCTTATAAACGTGCAGATTTACCTCATCCAAAAAAAATAAATCTACTTTTGATCCTATAGCAGACACTCCTCTCCTTGTCCTTACCTTTCCTACCTTCCTCTTTAAAAAAAAAAAAAAAAGAGTAGCACTGTACTTCCTCACCCTGGTCAACCGAACCAGAATAGGCCAGAGACAGGAAAGTCAGGACACAAACAGCAGTTTAATTAATTTCAGAGTGAGGAAGCCCTCCCTCCTAAGAAGATGGGCTTAAAGCTGCTGATGCTGGGGCCACTTACGTGCATGAAAGGTATTGACTCATAACACAGTCTTCTTGGGTCTTGACACAGTTCTCATGGTTGGCCTTTCTTGGGACAGTACAGGCATTCTTGGGTCCCGTGGGAACAGTCATTGTCTCAAGTGTTGGGGGGTTGTGATTATTCTGTGGGGTACAAAATGGGAGACTAGAGTTCTGTGAAGGGGACAGCAGTACAAGACAAGGAACAGGCATTGTGAATGTGTGATAGATGGCCCTGGGAAATAAGGGGAGCTGAACCCCCAGTGAACACCTGGTGCTGATCTGAGCAATACACTTTGCCACAGGGTGATATCATAGGGAGCACAAAGGATATTGTTATGCCAAGCTCAGGGCACGGCCTGCTTGCTGGGTCTTAACTCTGAGAGACAGAGTATCTCCAAAATATTTTGATACCACCTACTCATAGAATCCGTGTTCAAGGGCATCACCTAGTCAAATCTTCATTTTACAGATGAACTATAAGCATCAGTTTTGAAATATACATGGACAAGGAAACATTTTCTCTCTCACCAATAGGTCAGAATTTTTTAACGAAGATGGGACTTTAAAAGAGGTACAGAAAATAAGTGAACTTCATGTCACTATGCAGGAAGAATTAAAGGTAATTATATCAGACCTTTAAAGATTGTTTCTAGATTTAGAAATCATGCTAGTTCTGCATGTTTAGGATTTCTTCTCAGTAAATATATAGATTTTGCCTAGAGGGATCATATATCAAAAAATATACTGTACCAAAAAAAATTTAATAATTTATTATTCTACACATCCGTTGAAGTTTTTTTAATTCAGAAAGTTAATTTTAATAAATTTCTCAACCTATAAGCTTATAAACCTATAAATTTGAATTATTTTTGGTTACATTAAGCTTCCCCACCCCCACCCTAATTAGCCACATTGTTGTTAAGTAAAGAAGAAAATTGCCCTTGCAGAAATGTAGTAGTTAATGTGTGAAGTGGTTAGGAAGTGGTTAAATCTGTGACTGTTGCCCTATTCTTTCCAATAGAATTCCTTTTACTTAGTATAGGTTACTAATGTATTATGAATTGGAATGTTGTCTGTATAATTAAACTAATTTTCTTTTGTAGAAAATATACACTCAAGTATTGGACGGTGAGCAATTAGTCGAAAACCTCAAAAAGGATATAAAGAGACTAAAAGAGGAACTTGCAACAAGAAAGACACCAAAGACTGTAGTATCAGGTAAAAAAGAAAAGTTAATAACCATATTTTTTCCCTGTATAGCCTTTACCTAGCACTTTCAAATTGACAAACCTGTTGCTTCACAAGCAGCCCCTGCACTCCCAATTTTGCAAAGAAAACAGAGGCTCAGAAAGCGATGGCTTGAGTGCTTGTAATAACCAGTTATTAAACCAGTACACAGCGAGCCATGTCAAACTTTTAAATAACCTCTGTTTAACAAGATTGGATGTAGTCAGCAGTCTCTGGTCAGTAGCACATAAGAAGACATTTTGATAAGTGAAAGGAGTCTTTCTTCATTAAAATTTTGCAATTGGACTCTTAGATCAAATAAGCTGTGAAAGGCCCTATACCCTCACCTTCCATGTCAATCTGAACTTTTACATAATGCTGAATAATAACAAATTGTGTTATTTCATTTAGCAGGAAGAAGCGGTGACCCAGAAACACAAGAGGATGTTTTGCCCTGTTAGGCTTTACATACATTTTTCCCAAATCAAGAATTGCTTCATTCATCTACTGTTTGTTTGAAAGGCAGGCAGATTGCTAGGAAGTGCTGTAACACTGAACATAAGCTCAATGTAGTGAGTGAATTAACTCTGATGCAGGAAGATGATGGAACAAGATGCCAAGTTAAGCATAAATCTCTTGACTTTGAGAACCAAAGACCATTCAAGAAAGCAGGAGTGTTACAGCTTCAGAATCAGTCCCTTAAAAGAGATGATGAAAACAGTGATAGGGAAAAAGTACTGACAGGCAGTACAGAAACAGACGAAGATGCTGAGAAAGCGAAGGACAGCATTGAACATCCAGAGTCACCAACTTTCTGAACCTTTTGTATCATTTTTCTTATTGTCCGGACTGACCAAAAGGGAACAGAGGGGGAGAAAAAAGTTTGTTGTGTTGGATAGTTGGATAAGTTCTGATAATTTTCTTAAAGTATTGCTTCATAGAAATTATTTTGGAAAACTATTGCTGCGTTAGCAATGTGGCAGTATTTTTATTTTTATTACAGTGTTCTAAGAGTATGGCAAAAATTACTAGTTATCGTCAAGGTGGTTTTTTTGTTTGTTGTTTTCAATAAACGTTTTCACTGAAACCTATTAATCCACTTTGTAGATGAAATAATTCTGTAAAAAAAAAAAATCCTAAAACTTGAAGCTTTCTTTTTTACTTTGGTCTAGGAAATACAGGCCACACTAAAAAGTTAAATTTCAGAATTCAACTACCAAGTTTTCACAGCATCCATTTTCTCCTGCCTAATCAGCTATAAGATCAGTGTTCCAGAACGAATCCCCGACCAAGAAGTTCGTGTGCCTACCTTTTGTGTCTGCGTATATATTGTTTTTTGTTTTTGTTTTTCCCCACCAGAAACCAGGTTTCTTGATGGCAGGCACTTTTTGGGGGATAGTTTTTGAGCCCAACTGTGTTTGTCACATAGTAGGTAGCCATAAATGGCTGCGGAAAGAATGAACTGTATTTATCTCTAAGTCTACCCCATTGTTTGAACAAATGATATTTCTTCTTAGTTAAAATTCTAAAGGACTTGATTTCAAACAAACAAACAAACAAACATATCTTTGATTTGCCCTGCTATAGGCTAAGATGGAGATCTGCTAGCAGCCTAGGGTCACCTCCACAACACAAAAAATCATCAGAATAGGAGTTGAATGATAACCTGGGGTAGAATTCAGCTGAGTTTTTTATTTTCTATTACAAGATTGTGAAAATATCTTTATGAAATCAGATCACAAGAGCTGTAAGGCTCCTTGGAGACCATTTTTTCCAACCTCATTTTACATATGAGGAAACTAAGGCCCAGAGAACCTAAAGGACTTGTCCAGAGCCACATTTGTAGAAACAGGCCAGGTCTTCTGATGTGCAGCCCAGTGTTTTTAGAACTGAATCATAGTTTGATGTCACAAATATTGAGATCTTTCAGGTGTGGAGGATCCTTGAAAGTGACTGATCCTATAAAAAGATAATTTGCACAAATAAAAACCAATAAAGCCAAAATTAGAAACATTAAATGTTTAATAAAAGCTTAAAGTGTGACGTCAAATCTAAAGCAAACTGAGATTAAGAGCCATTCCCCAATAAAACTAGTGGTCAGAGGATATGAGCATTTACAAAGGAAGAAATGCAAACTAAAGAAAGGTTCAAAATCCCCAATGAGAAATAGATACTGAAATGTTGATGTATCACTTCATACCAAAACCAGCAACGAGTGGTGAAGTTTATTGTTGGAGGAGAGCTGTTAGAATGACAAGTATGCTTATTTCACTTCTGGTAGAACAATCCAAACGTTTTCATGAATTTGGGGGATTATTTAAGAACACTTACTTAATTCTTCTCTTCTTTTGATCCAGAAATCCTCCTCTTAGGACTATATTCCAAGGAGAATCATGAAAGCCAGAAAAGATTATGTGAAAAAAGTCATTCACCTCACATTTTGAGAAATAACTCATTTGGACTCAGGAGGGATGAAGTTAAAAGCCCAGTTTATTAAGCAGTTGCAAAAGTGGGTGTCCTATGGAATAGGCACACCATACCAAAGCAAGAGTTCACTATTTATCTCTAATCCTGGCCACAAAGTCCCTCCTCTGTTTCCTCATTGGCTGAGTACTCTGGAGTGTAGAACTTCCTGGTGTGCCTATTACACATCTACCCCTTGATATGTTCTGCCTCCTGCCACATGCATTGCATGACCATTAAAATAAGCCTTTACTCCTCCCAGAGGAGGAGAAGTCAATATTCATGAGCTTATTACACAAGAGCACTCTAAGCAAAGCTTAACCTTTATCCTACCTAACTGACTTCTAACCCCAAAACAAGATAAGACTGGCTGTTTCCTGTGTTACTTAGTTAACTCTTCTAGCAGTTGCTCTGAATTTATGGGAAACAAACACGTTCATTATATCTCTCAATTTCTCTCTCTTTCAATGTGGGTTTTGTTTCTATAATTTCTTATTTTCCGTTTTAGTCCTATTTTCAAGAAGTTTTAAACATTCTTTCTTCTTCCTTTCTTTTCTAGGACTGGGTTTTCTTTTTACTACCATAATTGAGACACCTTGCTTTGTCTTTTTAGGTAATGTGACAACTTGCATCCCCTCTACCACATGCGAAATAAGCCTTTTCAGGCAAGCAAGCAAGCAAGGTATAAATAATAATCCGCCTAGTCCTAACAATTATCATTCCAAGTTGCTTCCACCATGATCCTGTCAGCCAATTAAACCAGTTTGAGTCAAACCATCCTTTCCACTTTTGAACTGGCACGTGTGCCACTTTATGAATTTTTGTAGCCAAATTTTTAACTATTTGCCCATTGTCATCAATTTGTGGACAGTGTTTACTCATATTGAATTTTCCATAAATTCCCTCTTCTTCTGCTAGAAGAAAATCTAGTAGTAATCTATGTTGATACACAGCTGCCTGTGTCTGGTTGGCTTGGTCGGCAAGAAGTTCTAAAGCTTGTGCGATTTGGTTAGTTATGATTTCTACCACTGCCTAGAGCCTAATTAATCTATTAAGGAGATAGATGGGAGTTCTGTATCCTTAACTCCCATCTTGGGCCCAGATTGCTGGCACATAGGTTTGAATGATTCTTTCAGGTTTCCTGCTTGGGTAATGCTGGTGTCTAAGGGTTTTTTCTGTCTTTGGAAATCATCATATAACAGGATCCCAAGGTCATGCCCCTTTGGTCCTTCTAAAAAGAAAACGCCTGATTGTACTAATCCTATATAATATACTCCTGTCCAATTAAGTGGTAGGTGGGTGTAAGCAGTTAGTCCACAAATCCAGTAATGCCCCTTTAATGCAGGTCTTTCTTCACTAAACAACATGGGTCTCCCTCACACTGTGGGGTAATACTGCTTTTCTTCTAATCCTAAGGGTCCTCCTTTCCATAAATGTCGAATTCCACTGCCACAGTTGCTGTTTCCCTTTCCATGTTCAGTTATACTGTGGCAAAGTGCTATTGTGACTGCTCCAAAAATTCCTTGAACATGCTCTGTAAAGACGGCCCATTACTCCATTTCCATCCAAATTCAGTGATGTTACTAAGCTCGGTATGATTTGCATCCCTACAATAGAGAGCATGAGTATTCACGCAACAAGTCGAGCCTTTATAACTATAATCCTCGCTAGATGTGCCATCTCCAGATCAGTAGGAGAGCCAAGTATTGTTGGGACACTTAATATGTGTGCTATTGCACTGATCTCTATACTTTGTGCAATTAATGGGGGCAACCACTTTCTCCTCTACAGTCCTCTTCCCAGGAGTAGGTCCACTCACAGCCACTTTCTCCCAAGTTCTCGCCAGTTCCTGTTTGGTTCAGGCAGTGTTGTCCTCGAACACTCCTAGCCAAGGGCCAACTATGTTTTTCTGCTTGGTCCCAAACACCAAGCCATTCCTTGCCTCTGACTCAAAGGTATCGGGCACCATGGCCATGATTCCGCTGTTTCAGGACCTCCACAGACCCAACAACCACTCAGGTTGAAAGTGTTAGCCACTATTTCGGCTAGCTGTAAAAAGGCATTAGGAGCAATGGGAAGAGGCACAGGACAGGCCATACCAGGGAGGATTAGGACTGCTATCACTAAGTATGACAATGGAAGCATTTGCTGTGGTCCTGCTCTCTGATAACCTTTTGATTATGTCAAAGATACTTTCTCAATGTTTTTTCTTCCTTGGTTTCCCAATAATTCTCTCAGGGAATATAGCTGGCAGTATTATTAAGCTTATAATTCCTAATATTATGCACAGGAGCCCTACACTTATCATCCCTAACTAGTTCCTACAATAAAGGGATCCCTTCTCTAGGTTTCTCACAAATGGCCACCAAGAATATTACTATAAGTATAAGAAACAATATTATAAGCACAGGAATGATCAATCCAAGGTCTGCTGACATTCCCTCCCTTCCAGGTGCAAAGTAACCTTTAATGGATTAGGGCAGCTTTTAACAGTCCATTCCCAGGGTTTGTCCACTGGTCCTTTGACTCTGGTGTAATGTGTCCACCCTTTCTTGTCTGTCTAGATTGCTATTTCCGTGGTCAGCAACACTTAGTAGGGTCCTTCCCAGTCAGGCTGAAGTTTGGTCTCTTTCCAGGATTTGAGCAGTACCCAATCCCCTGGTTTGCACTTAGGCACTGTGAATTCTAATGGTGGAGTCTGAGCCAGAGGTCCTTTTTCTTCCTCAAATCTGAAAATATAGTGTATAGTGCCAGTACATAGTTCTCAGAAATCTATCTTTTGTCTTGAAAGTAGGGATGTCTCCCTGCCCCCCTGGATAAGGTTAACCCAAACAACATTGCATAAGGTGATACACCAAGATCTTTCCAAGGTGAAGTCCTAATTCTTATTAAAGCTATTGGCAGACATTTAGTCCAGGGCAATTTTGTTTCTAACATTAATTTGGAAACGTGTGGTTTTGTTTTTGTTTTTGTTTTTGTTGGTTTTTTTTAGAGTCTGATTCATCCTTTCCACCTTCCCGGATGAGGGAGGGTGCCAAAGGGTATGAAATTCCCAATTTGTTTCCAGATAATTCAGTATTCACTGTCAAATTTGGGATGTAAAATGACTACCATTGTCCGAATCTATGTTTTCTACTAAGCCATACTGTGGAATTATATGTTCCAAAAGTATCCTAGATACTCCTGTTGCCATAGCATTAGGCAAAGGATAAGCTTCGACCCATCCAGTTAAATGGTCCACTAAAACTATTAAATATTTAAGTCTCCCTACTTTTGGCATTTCAGTAAAATCTACTTGAACACTTTGAAACGGTCTGTCTTCCTCCTTGCTTAATTTTGGGGAGAGGTAATTCCACCATTCCCTTAATCCTTTCAGCACTCATTTTCCTCTTCCCTTCTGAAATTAGGTGTCCTAATTTAGGTGTACCTAACCTCCTTGTCCACATGTTGTAATTTCTTTTTGGACACTCTAAGACCTTCCTTCCCAAGGCAATTTAGTAAAGCATTTCTTGCTTCCACTACTTTATTTTTCTTTTCTCCTGAAATACTGTCAAATGTCCTCACACTCTTTCAACACAA